CCCGCCACGGACCACAACACCCGTTCATGATGTTCGGCCCTACCTCTCCAATGAACTCCCAGAGGTGCTGCAACGAAAGTTACAGAAGAGCTGAGAGAAATGACAACAGCTTCAGACCTGAACTCTTCGAGTTTGATTTTGCTCAGTCTCTGCTCACTCAATTATTCGGTGAAGGAGAGTGCTCACACGGACAAGGCGCTCAGCAACAGACACCCCCTGCGGCTGCGCCTAACAATGGAAATGTGAACTCAGCCCATACAGAGCATCCAATGATGACAAGCGGCAACCCCTTCATGGACATTTTGAGTGACATCTTCAAGAAATACGATGAAGTTGACGCCTCAAAAAATAAACCACAAAAATGGCAGCAAATGGTGGACTGCACTGGCTTCAAGTCTGACAACATTCACGTGAAGATCTTAAATAGGAGTGTCAATGTTAGAGCGGTTAAAGCGGAAGCGTCTTCCGACGGAAGCACTTGCAGCACAAGAATGGAAAAATGCATAGAACTGCCACAGAACGTAAATGTCAAAGGGGTCAGTTGCCGACTTCTACGTAATTCGAAACTCCTAATCGAAGCACCCATCACCGCTCAACCACGAGAGAGGATGCAGAGTACCCAAACTGAAAACCATAGCAATACACAAAGCAATTCCAACCAGGAGGGAGAGCCTCAACTTGAGATGAGAATCCTTCCAAACGGTGCAATGGTTTTGGGTGTTGTTCCTAGAACAACCAAGAGTTCGAACAAAGATGAAAAAGCAGCGACAAGAACAGAAGAAAAGAAAACACGTGGAAACTGTGAAGACCAAGCGTGCGCCATAAAGAAACAGAGTGGAGACAACAGCCCCAAACAAGAGGCACAAAAGACGAAAACAGAAAGCACAGGGGTGAATGTTCCAGTGAAGATGTCATCCCTAAATGCAGGTGACGCAGATCAGGGCAAAACTGTTTCACTGGACGAGAATAAAGACATGCAATTTTCAACCAGTTCTGTGAATGAAGAGCTGCACCCCAAGAAAGTCGAGTCTAGTGATCTAGAACGGGAGTTAGCCCACGCTCAAGAAGAGGCGACTGCGAGTGAAGAAACAAGTGTTTTGACTACATTGTCGGCGGAGAATGATGAAGAAGCACCAGAGACTTCCCAAAACAAGGGACAAGAGGTGCCTTACACTGTTGAGATGCCCACCGGTGATGATAATGAGGACACCTTCTCGCAAACCTCTCACGACAGCGAGAATTCTTTTGTCTTGTTATCTGATCCAGAAAAAGCAAACAAGAAAGTAGAAGTTTCTGAGAATTCTCTGGACAACACAGCACAGGCCGAAAGTCAAGACTCGAGTGACAGGAAAGATGTAGGCTCCATAATCCAAAGTGTCGTAGAGACTTTAGCACGTGGTTTGGATGCTGACGAGAAGTCAAACCAGAATGCCAAACCCCATGAAGTCATTGGTAACATCATGCAATATGTTGCCCAGAAAGCGCCGGAGGATTTGAAAAATCTCATTGTCAACAACGATGGATCTTTTCCTCAGGACGTCATGAAATTTGTAGTCGACAGGGCATCTGAGGAGACACCAGACAAGGCAACTCCAGACAACGACAAGACTGTAGATCAATCTCAAACAGCAAGTGGAAAGTATGACAGTACTCTGTCCGACAGAGAGGAAAACTCCCTTGAAAAAGAATTTCAGATTCGGTTGGAGATGCCTTGCTTCGGTCCTGAATCAATTAAAGTGACCATGGATGACACCCAACGTGTTCTGAACATTCGAGCCAACAAAGAGGGCGACCAATCACCAACGGAGTCTGTTCATAAGACCATCTCTGTGCCAGACACAGTTGACGTGCAACAACTTCAATGTCATTTCCAAGATGGAATGCTTACCATCAACGCCCCATTTACACAAGAAGACAAAGAAAATACGAGGGAGATTCCCATAAACGCGTAAAAGCAAACTTTTTGACATTTTTTAAAAATTTCAACGTAGTTGTACTGAAACTGAAACGCCATGGTTCCAGGCCACGAATTAAAAAAATGTTTCGTCAAATATTTCACATCTGGATCCCATAGAGTACGATCACAGAAAATCTAGTCTAAAATATGTACATGTACTTGCATTACCGGGTACTTATGCCTATTTACATTTTTCACTACATGCTTGTACCAACGTAACAGTGTTGTCCATTGAAACCTACGGAACCTGATTGACCATTTTGTGTTTAGAGATTCTGCATGAAGATCTATGTAATAAATAATAAATAGATCTATATAATTGCAATACAAAAATGTATGATGAAATAAGAGTCACACTCACATCTTACGTGGTACATGTATTCCATGCATTGATGCACAATCTCTTGCAGACCCTATTGCACTAGGTCTTGATGAAGAGTGCCGTTTTCTTTTTTTTCAGTACAATAATATGGTTCATGTTACACGGTCGCTTACTTGAGTTATACATTACTATCATGTACTATTTCTTAATCAATTCTGGCTGTTTGCCTTGGAGAACGTCCTTATGGCTAGTGTAGGTCTATGTCTTTGCAGGTGCTCAAAGCACGGTCTAGTGTTCACGTGTTGTGTGACGACCATATAATTTCGTACCAACAGAAAATATCGTATAAAATTAATTAAATATTATGTCATGAAGAAGTATGCGTGTATAGGCTTTTTGTGATGAATGTGCGTCTGAAAGACTTTGTTTGCAAATGTATCCTATCGGATCAATTCCATTAGATCTACATGTGAGTACGACATGTAGCTTTAGATCTAATTAAAGTAGATCTGGAATGGATTCTTACTGACTGATATTAGATATATTATGATCTATTTTAATTCTACTGTGATGCCAAGCAGTGGATTCTTATATAATGCATGTCTTTTTGTTAAATTGCACCTTGTAATTACTTATTGCTTCAGTTTGTTTTGTTTTTGTTTTATTTTGTTTTTGTTTGTTTTTTTGGTCAATAAAATACCCACATTCAAAGAAGAACTTGTTTTTTCTTCCCTTTTTAACAAATTGTATTGTCTGCCACATATCTGTTGTGATTCGTTGTTGTATACAGAAAATCATGGGTTGAGAAGTTCCTTTTAATAAATAGGCTGTCTCTCCCATTTGAGAGAGACAGTTACATGTAATAGGTCCTGTATTAATTTCATTGTATGTTCACACGCAGTGACTCCATAATAGTCACGAATTCAGAACGAGCGATGAGTTGAAATTTTAAGACGGCAGAAAGTAAAGATGGAAAGGTAACAAAGGAAAGCGTATTATACTGCATACAAGCGTATTGCATTATACACACATTTTTGACGTACGGCACATCGAATCAACAAGTGTACCCAGTTGCCATTGCTCCTTTGACTAACAACGTCGAGCGCGAGAAATAAGACTTAGTTTGAGTAAAGAGGACATCGAAACAATAACGGCCATATATAGAGCAAATGAAAACCAAGTTACATGTACACAGATAGCATGGTTAAATTGTAGTCCAGGCAGGACCTACCATGGCGATCAATGGCACTTGCCAATCAACTGCTGGGAGTGGGAGGTATTTTAGATTTCCGTTTTTTGTTTTGTTACTGCACTGGTAAATATGCTTCTTAACTATTGTTGAGGACAACAGTATAAGTAGACCTAAAGCGTGAATGGCTCATCTCAGGAGAGTAAAGGCATCTCTACACTTTTTTCTCCCAGTATTACAAAAGCGAGGTAGTCTTGTTTATGCATAACGTTACATTTTAACATAACTCTGACAACCAGCGGCATTATGATGCTTTCAATGGTCCTCCTCTGGCATTGTTGGATTTACTTTCCCTGACACAAGCACACGGACTGAGAACTCTTTATTTTAGTAACCACATATTCGTAAACCAGGGTCAAAGTCTGAATATAGGCTCGAACCACAGCCTTGTAGGCCTATTTGATGATCAAGTTAATGATTAGTTGTAGCCTATGTGTTACGATTCCGTCGAATAATCTAAACTTTAGGCTGCATAATCGAACCTGCTAACGACCTTCTGTTCGAGACAATTATCTGTGCAACCAGTTTCCACCTCCTCTATTATTAACGATAGGCTTACTTGTACTCTGTAAGTTTGGAGTAGGCCCTACATGTCAGTATCTTGGAAGAAATAGCTGAGGACAGGACAATATGGAGGAAAGTTATAAAGGAAAGAACAATAATGATGCTAAAAAGCAGCCTCAGAAACAACCAGGCTGAGAAGCGCCAACGACGAAAGGAAAACAATTGAAATTATACAGAGCTTCAATCCACCTCATTGACACGCACCGCGACAGAATCTGCGCTTCAAACAAAGGAAAAAATAGCCATGAAAGAAGCTGCATGAAGACAACCTTGAGACCATCATATAAGCTAAATTGACCGTCTCCATAGACGAAAAGAGCAATTGTTCTGTCCAAGAGGACAGCTTGTCTAAATTGACCACTGCCCTTCTCGACAATGAGTGGTTGTCTTTGACAGGTTAGACTATTATGTGATTCAAAAGGCAGGCTGGCTGTTTCCACTCTGCCTGTAAGGGCCAAAATGAGCTGAGTGGAATGCAGCATCTAACCAAAGAGTCAGAAGGACGGAGATCAGACAAAACAACTTCCCCACGAGGGAATCGAACCCACGTTTCCCGTATGCAATGGTGAAGAATTTAGCCATGTCCTTGCATAATTATTTTGGTCTCCAAATTCTGCAAGAAAAAGTCTCATTCTGCCTGAAGGAAGATTCAAATAATAAAGGTTTCGAAAAGAGACAGAAGAAGCAGCTTAAATCCCTCCAGGACCCCCCCCCCCCCCCCTCCCTGAATCATGAGGTTTAACTGAAGAAGGCAGTTGAGAAAAAATACTACAGCAACTTCATACTGTCAAAGTTATCTAAATAGTGATACCTATTTTTATTCAATTAATCAAATTAGCGTCCCACTGATCCTGTCGAGAAATTCGTTTCACGATGGCAAGTCGCTACAATCAAATAAATATGCGATAAATCATTAGCATCACCAAATGCGCGATACCACCCAAAAAGACAAAAAGTTACAAACACGATCTTTTTAGGCCTAAATGTAGGTGTTTTTACGCCCCGTGCCCAATGATCGAATGAATTGTTAGATCATTTTGAGAGGCGGCTTCAGCCTTGCCTGTCAGGGTCAACCTCTGTTAAGACTGATACATCTGTGTAAAAATATTGCGAGCTGCGAGACACCAGATGAAAATTCTCCTCGCACAGATGAGAATCGAGTTCGATTCTTCTGCGTGCTACACCCAAGCGCCTACCGCTACACCACAGACATGGATTAAACACCACACCAACAAACAATGCATTAACCTTACAAATTGATGCTGTTTGGGATCCAAATAGGAATATTGTGTCTCACCTAAGGACACACCTTCACAACAACACCCCCCATGTGACCACCCAAAAAAAACTATGCTTCTAAAATTATATTATTATGTTTGCTTGACATTGTGAGCCGGAGCTTGTTGTTGATGTAAGTGTTTTACGGCGCTCGCAACTGCATACTGCGCGGGACACACTAAACATTTTCAGTTGGAAGGAAATTTTGAATTTTGCCTGGGTGGCGGCCGAAGCCTACTCTTATTGATTTTAGTTTTTAAGCCCACCAAGGGATCTTTAACGTGCGCAACTTGTACACGGGACCTCCGAGATTTTTCGCCCTTGTCCGAGAAGGCGAAGTGTAGATTATCTAGGCTTTCTCAGTGTAGATCTTTCCTACCAGAAGATATGGGATGTGGCTGAAAGACAGCAGATAGATGGAGCCAAAAAGTAGCAGTAGAAAGGCTGCAGAAAGTCAGGAGTCCAGAGGAGGGGGCAAAGGAGGTGAGGGAGTGGGTGCAGAAGGTGGAGACGAAAGAAGACGACAGAACAGTGCCAGAGAGGAAAGGAGGTGAAAGGAGACAATTTTAGAAAAGAAAATGTTTCCGTCGCAACCCGGATTCGAACTCAGGATCTTTGAATGAGAGGCGAACACCTTAACCTCTTGACCACGAGAGCTTACTAAGCGGCACTTGTGTGGGTACTGGTATCACATTTCATCAGTAGCGAAGTCGAATTAATTATTCTTAGCGAAAGATACGGCAACGTTTTTGTTGTTGTTGGTGGTGGTGGTGATGGTGGTGGTGCGTGTTTGTGTTGTTGTTATTGTTGTTGTTGTTGTTATTGTTGTTGTTCTTGTTGTTGTTGTTGGGGGTGGTGGTGTGATGGTGGTGCGTGTTTGCGTTTTTGTTGTTGGTGGTGTTGGTGGTGGTGTGGTGGTGGTGCGTGTTTGTGTTGGTGGTGGTGGTGGCGGTGGTGGTGGTGGTACGGTTGTGATGCGTATTTGTTTTGTTTTTGGTGTTCAATTTTAAAGAAAAACAACAACAACCCAAACAAACAAAAACAAAAAACAAAAACAAAAACGAAAACCAGAGGAAAAAAAGAATTTAAAAAAACACACGATCATTTAGAAGGCCGCGCCGTTGAGGAATATACCGAGTAAACGCATTGTTCTATACGTTCTTAGTCTCTTTGTTCCATGTTTCGTCGTTTTCTTCCGTATTACAAACGCATTTTACAGGTAAAATACGTACCTTCACTAAGGAATCGAATTTAAAAAAAGGGAGGGGGGATAAACAGGGGGAGGGGTGTGGACAAATGATCCAAAATTAGTAAACGAGGGAGGGGGGAGGGGGTTAAAAAGAGGGAGGGGGTGTGGCACATTCAACCTCATGCCCCTGTAGGCCGCTACTAGTCGTAGTAGGAACAAATCTACTTTATTTCTCCTTCAAGAGAATAAAAGAACAAGAGATCATGAAACTTTAGTGATTTTAGTAAGTTACTGTGACAGCTTTTCCCATTTACGAACAAACCACTTTCATTACAAAAATAATTACCAATTTACAAAAGATTTTAAATAAAATGCACATAAAATTGAGGTAGCCAACCCGGTACCGGTACTAATTCTGAGAGTAATTTATCTTTTACAATTAAAAAAAAGAAGTTTCATTCAGATATCTATATATTATAATGTTTCACATGATCGTCGGTCGTGGCAAGCTGGAAAATAATATACGGGGGGTATGGAATAAGGAGCGGGGGGGGGGGGGGGGGAGGAGAAAAAACTGAAGATTAATAAGCAGGGGGGGCGGGCGTATTCGTTACCTTAGAGTAGGAGAATACGGATCCCTCACTATTTCCTATAACCGGCCGGTTCCTTGCGATACGTTATAATACGTAGGCTGACGTAGTACGTACGTAAGGGCGAAAACATAGAGAACGCCGATTTCGGAGACTGACTCAGTAAGCGCCGATAGGTATAAAAATTCCCTTATGATTTCCAACTTGCCCCACATAGATCTGGCCGACTGCAGGCGGCTTTAAACTCGGATCGGAGTTGTCGGCTTTATCGGAATCCAAACTACATTCTTATTACGCCGAAAAACTGGGAAGGGCGTCTCGCTGTCAACTCACCACCGCAGTGCTTTCTTGTCGTATTTCCATTTTTTAACAGTGAAAATGAGACTTCTTCTTTAACTCACATTTTGTTATGAACTGTTTTCACTGTTATTAAAAATGGAGGTACGACAAGAAAGCACCGAGGTCGCGAACTGTCAATGCCGTCTCGCCGTCGCCAACTCGGGTTCAGCGGTTTGTGTGACGTAACCCGACTGGACTGGGGACAATTTTAAATGGTCATTTCAGAGCTGGTGCTTCACGGTAGACAAAAACTAATTACATTTTTGAAATCAGCATCGTCAAAATAAGGTGGTCACCGAGCAGAATTGCATTTTAAGCAATATTTAAGAAAATTAGTGTTTTTTCCCCGAAAAATATTATGCTTCATGAATACCAGCTGTGTTGTGGTGTAATTAATTTTAATTTTTTTCTTACATCTAGAATCTAGCTCTAGGTATCTCGGCTTTACTGTGTCAATAGAGTGTGATTTTGAAGAGACGAGGCCTGTGTAGTTTTTCGTTGTGCGTCTAGAGATCTGCTTATCTGGCTGTGTCGTGTCTTGTCAAAATGGATGTCGATTTACAATAATAATAATAATAATAATAATAATAATAATAATAATAATAATAATAATAATAATAATAATAATGAAGATCATTTCTATAGAGCCCACTCCCGTGTAAACACAGCTCTGGGCGCTTTACATAAAAATACATGTACGAACAATATTCACGCACGCGACACAAACACAAAAATACACACACTCATACACACACACAAACACACACACATACACACACACAAACATACACACTCACGAACACATAACACGCACACATGTGCACACACATGTACGCCAAACACACACACACACACACACACACACACACACACACACACACACACACACACTCACACACACACACGCATCTACTTGCTTATCAAACGCGCACGATTACACGTCGTCACGAAATGAGCATAAAATAATCTACACAATGCAATTCACAAAATACATAAATGGATACATAGTCATTTACATAACATTGTATTGAACCTGAATCTACAGACAAAAAAAGATGTCATT